ACCACACCAGAGCACCCGCCAACCACCCACTTTTTTGGTGTATTTCTCATACTTGTACAATAAACACCAGAATGTTATCTCACCCAAAGTCATCACATGAGACAAACAACAGGAAAGAGAAAAAAAAATCCCAGAAATATTCAAGAACTTGACACTCTACAAACTCCATCAAACACAAGTTAGCACAAAAGTTTTTGGCTTTTTAAAAAACTCTCTCTCTCTCTCTCTCTCTTTCTCTCTAATACCACTTACTATACATGTACCTTCTTTCGCGGTGACGGCACCGACTGATCAGCCACCGCTGGCTCCCCGTAACACTCAAGCAACGCCGCCTTGGTCACATTATCCACTAAGGCGTTCACAAAATCCGCCAAACCATCATTCATGGGCTCCTCGGCCTGATGGCCCCCTACACCAACTGGACCTCCTCCTCCTCCACCACCATCACCACTACTTTCTTTAGTCCTCAAAACAGCCACTGCAACTTTCTCATCAGTTCCTGCACTGGAAGAATTTTTCTTGGCTTGGGCCACTTCCGAAGTCCGGTAACCCCCATTTACGACATCACCAGAAGAAGGCTCTCTAGAAGGTTCATCTATACTCAGCACTGGAACACCCGTGCCGCCAACCTTTGTATCGGTATCATTGTGCCGAGCGACCAGAGAGGCGTCGTCGGGCTGGGCGAGGGGCTCGCTAATATCACCGGGTGTGCGCGAAGACAGAAGGCCACCGTTCTTTCGTTTTTTACTGAGCGGCACAATTATATCCTCCGAGGCAGGCGAGTAGGTCTCAGAGGTGACATCCGTATTCTTCCTGCTGCCGGGGACGTCCGTACTCACATCATCAGCCCCGTCCCGCCACGACTGGACAGCGTGAGAGGACAACGTCCCGCAACCCATTCTCACAATACAAAACAAATTCCACGTTTTGTTTTCTACTTCAGGCAGTCCTTCAACCCTCCAAGAGTAGCAAACAAATCAGAATATAACTGTTCTAGTAAAGGTTAAAAATAGTTCTATACATGTATATGCTCTCCCGACACTCCCTTGCGTAGCAAACAGTCCAGGACATATCATTTCTTGTAAGGGTGGAGCACAGTTTTATCGCAACCACTCCCCAGCCTGTGACCAAAGCTTAACGACATATTTAGCTGCCTATATGTAGAGTCTTTCAAGTTTAGAGTATAAATCAGTCAAAGTTCTCTGTCTGTCATAGCAGACCCACAAACTCTGAAGACAAACAGCACGAGGTATGCATACATATAAAACACACGCGTGCCTCATACATTGGAAATGGGACATCAGAATCCAAAAGCCCCTTTTTCCTGAGTATAGCGGATAATGACGAAAACTCCCAGACGCGTTCACCGACACCAAACTAACACCACAACATCCGCAATAACAAGCGATTTTATTTTAACAATTCAAACCCCCCCCCCCCCCAAAAAAAAAAAAAAAAGAAAAGAAAAACAACAATCTAGAATGACGTACCTACAAAAGCGCAACGTTTATCTAACTGCCCAAGTTCACACTAAATTCTAAAAAAACCCGACAACTTAACTCTCTAGAACTCAACAGCTGTTTACAATAATCAAACTGGTTACCCCGCACGTTCGACTAAAAACAGCAGTACAACGCATCCCGCGGCACGTTTGATGAAATTCCCTATTTCAAAGGAGGCAACACGGCGTGACAACAAGAATTCTGTGAAACACTATCGAATATCATTCCTCTCTTACAACGAAGCCACGGATGCCAGGGGCACTCCAAAACAAGAAATTGCGAGGTCCTGACCCGTAGACAGTAGGCTACTGCGCCGCACGCACGCACGATCACACACACACACACACACACACACACACACACACACACACACACACACACACCGCCAGAGAGTCAATACGCTACCGCACTCAAAGAATTTGGGGGTGGGAAGCGCACACAAAACCAAAGAACGAGGAAGAAGAAACGATGAACTAAGGCTCGAGGGGGAAAGGGGGGGGGGGGGATAAATCCCTCAATCAGATCACGGATCGATATTTAGGAGACATCTGTCCCTTGTAGATCGATAGCGAGGCCAATGAGGAGATCAAAACATTCTAGAACCAGCCTGTTTCCGGTTTGAGAACAAGCATTGGGCGCGCTACAAGTGTCAGTGACAGCAGCGATAGGGAAAACACACACACACACACACACACATGCAAGCACACAAAAAACACACATACACACACACTCCACACTCCGTGGCGGTCCACACACAGGGACACACGACACAGCAGTAAACACACGGCGGTGAGCAACGCATTACCAAACAGGCGCATACACACGCATACACACACGCATACACACACACACACACACACACACACACACACACACACACACACACACAGCGACACACGACACAGTGGTCAACACACTGCCACTCACGACAAGACGACACGACGGTCAACACACTGCACACACAAGACGACGATCGTCACACTATGACATACAACACGACGACCGTCACACTACGACACACGACACAGCGATTACCAGCGACACATGACACAGTAACCAACACAAGCACACACAGCTCGCACACACAAGAGGTAACCCCCCCCCCCCCTCACACACACACACCTAGCAGACGTCACACAATCCTCCAACTGACCAACGCCTTCCCTCAGTCACTAGCTGGCACTGACCAGAAAACCGCCTCGCCCCTACCTTTACTTCGCGCACAAGACACACTGGAGTAAAACAAACACCGCGCTCTGGTCCGTGTACTCCTTTAATTAATCAACACGTTCTTCTTCTCTACACCTCAATACAGCTGGTGCCGCTGTAAATAATTAACAGTGTGTGGTCAGCGGGTGCGCTGTTGTGGTTTGCTTCTTCTCTTCAATCAACTATCTATCGTCCCTATCTCTCCTCCTATTTTTCATTGTTACTCTCTTGTAGTAACATCGCTAACCTTCGGTACTTAGTGTGTATCACATATTTGTGTTGCAAGTACCATAAAACTCTTTCTAAAATAAACGTTTAATGGTTCTACATTCAAAACTCCTCGCCTGAAAACTCGCGCTATCCCAATCTGTTCCTTCACGCGAGTTTGAATTCTGAACCAAGGTCTGCCTCTAGCACTTTTCAAAAGACAGCCTCAAACCATACACACGAGTGAGAGAAGATCAAACAGAAAGGGCAAGCACGACCACCACCAACACTATGCACATGCCAATGTAAAGACCACTGCTCAAGTGGCGTGTAATGCATGCCACTTCGACCAAACTGCGCTCTGACACTTTTAAACAGAAAGCTTGCCGTTACTCAATCC